AAACAAAATATATTTTATTCATGTTACAAGGTTTTGGGTTGAAATAAGGTGGTAGCTTTATTTGCAGGTAAATCAGTACAATTCTGGATGTTAGATCTATCTATCCATTTTATTATAAATAATGCAAGTCTGATTTTATGATGTGATTTCTTGCAGAACCTTAAGGGAAGCAAGAACTGTGAGCACAATAATCTTTAGAGAATGTACAGCCCTTTGGGTATTTGTCTACTCATCAGCTGCATAGTCAGATGGAGTGTTTTCTTAAGTGCTGCTGAAATGCACAGTTCAGTCTTTATTTTGAAATCTCTCCTGTCTCCTCTTCCTCTTCCATTACTTTCATTACCTCGATGGGACATACAAACTGTGCAGTCTTATCCTTTTATTTCCATAGCCTACAGAAGCCAGTTTGAAGATTAACTGTAGGTGAACAGGTAATCTTATCCACTTGGCGAGACATCATCCATCAAGATGAAACACATGTCAACAAAAGCCTTCTAGACTTGGGGACCTGGATGAAGGTAACTTAATCTTGTGGCATTTTTAGTAGAAACCAGGGTGGTTTAAGAAGTTTGGCTTACTGAAAGCAGGACATGATTATGGGCTCAGGGATTGAAGTGAGAGAGAGGGAGAGAGGAAAGTATATGTGTGTATTTGGGGGAGGAGAAGAATCCAGAGATAAACAGTAAAGAAGAATTATGAATTCAGGAAATCTTCAAAATTGAATTACAGAATTTTTATTCTGAGAGGGTGGTTACTGGGGAATAGAGCAGGTGCTTACTAGTCACTTCATTGTGAAGCTGTTGGAGTTGTTTAGGTGATGGAGTCTGATGACAAAGGCCTTTTCCCTGCCCTTTTTCTATATTAGCAGCTCAGGAAAAAAAAAATTAAGAAAGCTTTGTATAGAAAATGACGTGCATCAAATAGTTCCAAGATTTCCATTGCAGAGTGTCTAAAGTGGGCTGCCCGAGATAGCTGTTTGTTGGTCACATTGCTGACTTCCTTTCTCCCAAGCTTGTCATCAGTTTCTCAGACTGTGTCCTGTCAGCTTTGGATTTTTCCTTTTCTGCAGGCTTGCTGTGTTTTCAGTTCCTGACATTTGGGAGCCTAGTATTTCATTGTGTCTGAGATAGGCAGTTGCTGTACCTTTTATATTGGATACCTTTCTGAACTATGAAGTATTATACCACAGTGGATGATAAAGTGCCCACAATTATGTTACAGAACAGATTCTGGTACCTGTACCAGTGGGGACAGACTCGGTTTGTGTCTCCTCATGGAGCTCAGGGGTTGTTTTGCAGCAAAGTGCTGTGAGGAGGGTTGTGCCTCATGCAGTGCCAGTTCCTGTATCTGAACATGAAAGTGGCTCGTTAAAGATTAAAAGGACTGCCTAGTCTTCTGGCCTCAAGATGGAATGATCCCCGCCATAGCGACAGCCTTTGTCTCCCAGGAGAGGCCATTTTATACATCAGGTTTGTGCTTCCAAATGTTACAGTAAGCCTGAGTTGGCTGATGTTGTGGTGATAAGTTGGCATTTGGGAACTCTCAAGACATGTGAGCTATGTAGCATCCCATGGTTTAAATTTCTGGGGAAAACTGCCTCATCAGGAAGTCAAAAGCCTCTACTTTCATCCCCTGTCTTTGGGGAGGTTTTCTCTTTTGTTTTATTTGACTATTCTATTGAGTTAAGTGAACTTTAATTTTCACAGCCATAAAAATTCCATTAAGCCCCTTGTACTGCATCCCAGGTGTGAAAATGTCTCAGTATAACACCACTGGATGGCAGCTAAAATCTTTAAGAGTAGTTAGGATAATTGTCTCTGGAGGCTTGAAGAAAATAATGGTCCACTCGAGAGGATAGGTTTAGTTCACTTATTATGTTCTTGGTGGTTTTTGTGGGTGAGGTGAGGGGACTAATGTTTAAGACCTGCTCAGTGAGACTACTGTTCAGTCTATGGTCTTGGAATAAAACTTTTCATTTCACTGGGAGTAGTGCTTGCGGGGGGACACAGCTATGACCTGTCTCTCAAATCGTGATCCAAGGCCCATCTGCATCAGAATCACTTGGGAGAGGGAGATACTCATTAAAAATTTCAACTCTGGGGCCTCCCTGCTAATTCAGTCTGGGGACTGGGATAGAAAAACGATTATTTTCAGTAAGCACCCCTGTTGATTCTTAAGTACCCCTAGAGTTGATTCTTGAGTATCCTAAAATTTACTGTTTTTCATGTTTAATTTCTGTGATTTATCAGGTGATAGATGTTTGGTTGACACACATTATCTTTTTTGAAGAAGTACACTAGTTTAAAAAAAGGTTATACAATACCAGAACATCAAAGATTAGAATTTGACAATGTCCCTAATTCTCAATGTGATGAGACAGCCAGGGGTTCCTGGAAATTTAGATTTACCAGTTCACCAATCAGAAAAAGGAGGTGGACATAGATAAGATTAATTTAGTTAAAAAGAAGAAATGTGCAGTATCATTTAGGATGTTGGGAATGGGAAAATAGGTAGGTATTGAGAAGAGAAAGTGGGAAGGGGAAAAGATGAAAGTAGTTTATAAATGGTAAAAATTTTAAACTTTAGTTGAATTTTAAATTACCAAACAATTGGATATATGCTTGTCGTTAAAAAAAAAAAATTCAAATACTGATAAAGCTAAAAATACCTCCCCAATCTGCTCCCATTGCAGTTCCCTGCCTGGTGCGTGTATCCTCCCATATCTTTTTGTATGTATTTGGTAATTTTCTGTGGATTTAGAAGACTGAAGAATCCTGAAAAATGAATATTTTTTATTTCTCTTTTTGACGCCTGTTTACTGTTTATAATGTTATGATGTATTGCAGGAAAAAAAAAAACAAATGTGGGCTATCATTGGCAATACATATATCTGTTCAAGTAAAACAATGGGTATGGGTGTGTGCAAATTTTATATATTCACCTATACACACAGAACACATATACATACACATATACCTATAACATCTATCGTATCCATCCTTAAAAAGTAAACATATAACTTTGGGTAATAAATTACTTGTCTGAGTTTTAAGATAATGCATTGAATGAGCTTAAGCACAAAGCCACAATTATTTTTAAAATTTCTCAAGTAGTTTTATACTCTCATAGTTTCCATATAGCCCCATAAAACCTCAAATGCCTGAAACCTTTAATTCAAATTTAGCATCTTTTTTTTTAAAGCTCTATGTATGTAATCCTCACCTTTTCTAGTCTAAAAGAAGGAACTAGGATGGAGTATGGTTATATTTTGGGGAATCTGACTGAAACTGTACAGAATCCCAAACAGGGAAATGATAACCTGTGCCAGCTCTCCTCATCTGCTAAATGTCATTTATCTTAGCAGAATTAGGAAGTTTTGATGTTTCTGGCTCTCATGTTGCTCTTCCTATACATTACATTTATTTGCTGGGCACAGTGCCATCTGGATTTTCTCTTCCTTATTTAAAGTTTACTAATACAGAATGGGTCAGAAGCTTCTAACAATACTTTGCTTTTCTAAGAGTTCATATTTGTACTGTATGTGCTTTGAGAGTTGCTCCGTATTAGAATGTGACTTATCATCAACTACAGCAATATTTTTTAAAGTGTGGTCTGGGAGATAATGGTTGTTAATTGCTGTAAATATACTTTTATCATTTAAAAAGGACTAATTAACCTACACTGTAGGAAAACTTTAAACATTTTCTGAAAAGGAAAACACTGAAGGGGAGGAAATAAAAGAGGGAACATAAAACCTTATACAAGGTTGGCTGTGGCTATTCTACTGGAATAATGTAATTAAGGGGAATTAAGTGAGTTGGATAAATAATTTTCTTTTTAAACTAGCCCCTTGAAAAGGAATAGAATTAAGTAACACAGTTTTTAAAACCCAAATTATAGTGGTCTACATGTATATTTTAATTGACCTAATAACATTTATTGGATAACCAGCAAGTTGGCAGCTACATTCAGAATTCATGCCATATGAGACCTACCTTGAAGAATGGATGAGGCTAGGTATGGTGTCCTCTAATGCCCATGTTAAGAACTAGCTAGTGACCATGGGAAGTTTTGAGCAGGGAACAGAAGGAACTGATATGAACTTTAGTTTCTTTCTTGTCAAATGAAAACTCATAGAATGCAATCTTTTGTTTTCTTTATATAGCACCCATGCCAATTCTAGCCTGTCAGGGCAAATTCAATTATAATATCTGTCGATGAGCCAATCATTCTAGAATTGACTTTTTAAATAAGCTGGCTAATAAATGAGAATCGACATAAATTAGGGATTTTTCTTTTAAAAGCAAGTGTTAATGTATTTTTCCATAGACTCTTATGTACCTTAAGCACCTAGTAGGTATGATGGTGGATAATTTAGCTTTAGTGTAGAGAAGATTGCAGGCAGCTGATGAAACAAAAAACCTCCAGTATTTCTAATTAGAGAACTTGAGTTGTCTAAGGAAATAAAGAGGTCAGAGAGGGCCTTGTGGGGAAAAAGAACAGCCTGGTTAGAGCTGACAGAAATTCACCCTAATGATTGATTTAATCAGCCTGTGGTAACTGTGCAAGTTCTCCTAGTCCTCTGACCCAGGTGTTCTAATTTGTAAATGCAAAATGATTTATCAGCCTCTTGGGGGAGATCTTCAGCGCTATGAACCTCCTACCTTCAGTAATCTTGCTGTCTTGAGCCCCAGCTGTTCTCAGATGAAATTTCAGAAAGTTACCACTGGAGCTTTTCCAGTAAGGACTCCATCGGCCACTCTGATCGTCAATAGGGGAATGAGATGTATTTTTTCCCTGTAATTAGCACTTGATTTAAGAAAAATCAGTGGGGCACCTCTTCTAGGTTGCAGTTGATTGTGGTTGGCTGCAGTTGATTGTGGTTGGCTCAGGCTGAGTTGTTTGGGAAATACTATGCATTGCCTAGCATGAGTCAGCACTGCCCTGGGTAAACTGCCTGCTCTGTTGCAATCCTGCTTACCAAAAAGATACGTCCCCAGGCGGCACCATTCACTTTGCCTGAAAGCCACTGCTGTTGGTTCCTGAGATGATCTCATCGGAACATGGCTCCAGAGGACCTCAGCGGCAGGAACTAGAAACAGCTTGCTTTCTGCCATGGCAGTGTTTTGAAAAAGGCAAAATCAGGTAACCCCAGACTATTTTCTCTTAGTTTCATTAGTTAGACTGAGTTGCAGTAGAAACTGGGTAAATCCTTAGTCTTCAGAAGTGAGTCGACACCTTATCATTTTGGATATCTTAAAGTTAGTCATTCAGCTCTTTGAGACTTAAGGGGAAAAGTTTCATTTCATTTGGGATATGGATGTGGTTTTAGACCTAATGAACCATTTATTATACAAACCTTCAGGAAGTCAGACAGACTTACAGCTTTATCCATGTTTTGCTCTTGTGTTTTCTTTTCTTTTTGTATCTTATGAGAAATAGTTTAATCAAAGGAAGAGAGAGAGGCAAACATATTTGCTTATTTATCTAGTAGTTGTGAATATTGAATTCTAGACAACACTGTCTCACCAATGAGTTTCCTTATTTTCTGAGATATAAGAACCTCACCTCGTCCCTAATTCTGTTCAGGCCTTCTGCGCTTCACCTCTAAACTTTTAAATCTTCAGCCTTATCATTAGGTAGTTGCCCCTTTCAAAGTTTGCTTCTACTGCTACAAATACCCTAAACGATCTATGTTCTCTTTTGCCTTAGGCCTTTGCACAAAATAAGCCTTCTCTGAAACACACTGCACCAACTTAACCTAGCAACCTGGCTTCTGCCTAGAAGTCCCTTCATACTCACCAAGACTGAATGAATGAGTGCTCAGGAGAACCCTGTGTTTACTCTGATCATAGGATATATTAAGAATCAGCATCTTTTGTAAGAATTATATTTATAGTACTTGGCACATAGTACGTTCTCTGTAACGATAGAATGAAGAACAGCCCATAGTCTACTTCCTCAATTCCGATCTTCCTAGCAACTCTTTATTTTTGCTTTTACCCACATTACCCTACTTATGTTTTCCTGAAGATCATCAGTATACTCTTAATTACCAAACCCATGTCCTGGTTTCAGCCTTCATCTTACTTAATCTCTGCTAGCATTTGGCACTATTGAACCCATTCTTTTTTTCCCTGCAACCCTTTTCATTTGGCTTTGAGACCTTGTCTCTTCTGAGTTTTCAGAGTATCTTCCTATTATTTCTTCTTATTGTCTTTTGATTATCTTTTAAATGTTGAGATGCTTCAAGGCTTTCTTTGTCTTAGGTATCTTTTCACTCTTCCCTCATCCCCTTCCTCTAATGATCTCTAATATACCCTTAAATTCAGCAGTCCTCAGTATGTCTTACCAGCATAGCTGTTTCTCCCAAACTTCACATCTTATTTCCAACTTGACAAATCTTGAGAAATGTTGTCTCACTTGACAAATCTACCAGAATGTTCAAGAGGCACCTTAAGTTTAATACATACGTAACAACTCATTATCTCCCCTACCAGTATCTGTTATCTGCTTGTATCGCTGTACATTTGAACACTGTTAATTATGTCCACCAAGTCTTCCCGTTTACTCTTTTTATGCCTTATATCCTCTAAATATGCTAAATATATGGTTGCTAAACCCTTTTGATTACTATATTGGAGTATTGTGTAATGTGTCTTTTCTTTATTTCCACTGATTGCCTTAATTTACCACAGGTCAAAAACTGGACATTTTATTTAACCAGCCCAATGGCTTAAAATTTTGTGTGTGAATACTTTTAGGTAGAACCTGTACTCCTCAGGTAGTTTTCAAAGAGTGCTACTGGTTCTCTATTTCTTGCTTAACTTGATAGGTAAAGTTCTTCATAATTTAACCCTATCCTACCTGTTACTATTGCCTGTCTTATTTCCTTCTCCTTTCCCTAGCCATTTTCTCCTCTTTAACCTCACTGAACTCATTTTTCCAGTTGCTGGTTATATCGTATCCTTTTAGGACTATGCCTTTTCTTAGTGGCCTCCCCTTCTGATTGGCAAGGTTCTCATCTCCTGAGAGACTTAATTAGTTCATATGTTAAACATTTTCTCACTTCCTCAAGCAGAGTTATTCTTTATTATTATTATTTTTTATTTTATTAGTTTCAATATACAGTACATCGGTTAGACATTTACATAGTTTATAAAACGAGAGTTATTCTTTCTTATTTGGACTTCTACAGCACTGTATCTCTTCTACTAGACTACTGCATTCCTTGGGTGAGACAGTGTTGTCCAGGGACTAGACTACTGGTCCCTGTCCTAGTTCCATCAGACCAGGGCTGAAGTGGGTCCCGGGATTAAACCACTAGACTAAATACTGTTATTAGTCTGGCAGAATTAGAAAATTTGTAAGCTCTCATGTTAGATGACATGTTTTTAGTTCCTGTTTGATGAACTTGAGCCCATGGTGCCTATTCCTTGTGTCACCTGAAACCACCAGATAACCATTCAAAGTTAATTTGAAGATTTATAGGACTTGCTGAAACCTAGTTCCATAATGTCACCTAATATTTTTATAGAACTCTACAAAGTATTCCCTGTATCATTTTATTTGATACCTATATTACTCTGCGTTGGGTGGGCTTTATTATCCCCATTTTACTGTTGATTTTAAAGCTACTTCTGACATTGAAGCACATACTTTCAGATAAGACTCAGAAAATGTTTTACATTGCATTAAGTAACTGGTTTGTCTTTGTAGTTAAATATTCTCTGTTGGGTTCTACAGAAATTGTACCTTTGCTCAATAGGCAAGTGCTAAAGATCTTGTCTTTTACAAGGCCACTTTATCTTTGAGGTAGGAGGAGGAGCCTGCCTGATATGAAAAAGCCTTAACAATGTTAAGAGACCTTGACTTGGATTAATAGTGTGCTCACCCCAACCTCTCAGCCTTCTCTGTTGTGCTTCAAATGTCTAGAATTTGTTAAAAACTACTGCAGTAGTGGAGTGTCAGACCAAGTTGATGAGTGAAGGGAGTCATCACATAATGGAGTAGCTGAGTGTTAAGAGAAGAGAAGGTTTCACAGTAATTCTAAAAAGTGATTAAATTTGTAGAGTAATTCATAACTTTTGGGTTACTAATATGCCATATTTGAGACTATGTGGAATTTGATTACAAAGGCTAGGAAATAATCTCTGTTAGGTACTGGTAGGTGACATCCAATTTTGGCCCTCCCATACTTAATAGAGGATAAAATGATTAAAAAGTTTAAATAAGTCATCATTATAAATTTTTTTTAAAAAAGAAAGATTTTAGCCTGGAAAAGGAAAAACTAAGGAATGGCTTGATTACCATCTCAAGTACCAGAATAGTTTTTGCCAGGGGGATTTGGATTAGTTGTTCTTCATGTACTTCAAAGACTTAAGAGGAAATGGGCTTAAATTGAAGGAGTAATTTTAATGAATATGCGAAAGTTTCTTGATCTTCAAAGTTGAGAGACATTTGAATGACTGCTAAAAGAGAGCGTTGAATTTCTGACCATTTCAGTTATCTATTATCATGTAACAAATCACTCTAATATTTTTAATGGCTTCAAATGACAACCCTTTTATTGCTCATAATTCTGTGGGTTAGTAATTCAAGGAAGAGGGACATATGCTTTGCTCTTGTGGTGTTAATTAGACTGGAGGATTTATCATGGCTTCACTCACATATCTGCGGCCTCTGTGCTGGCTGTTTTCTGGGACATCTTGGTTCTTCTCCATGAGGTCCATTTTTCTCTTGGCCTCTCATCATTCATTAATCTAAACTGGGCTGCTTTTACATGATGGTTGGCTTCCAGGGTACAATAATGGAAGCTGCCAGGGCCTCTTAAGGTCTAGGCCTGCGACTCATGCATCATCACTTTTACCGCATTTTTGGTTAAAGTAAGTCACCAGTGTAGCCCACATCCAAGGGAAAGGGACATGGACTCCACCTCTTGAAGGATAGAATGTCAAAGTCACACTGCACAAGGGTGTGCAGTATGATTGAAATTATTGTGGCCAATTTTGGAAACAATTTACTGCACTGACCTTAGAGATTTTGAATGAGAGAATAATCAATACGTGTTTATTGAATAGTTTGGACATATGATTTACAAACTTAGCTGCATATTAGAGTCATCTGGAAGCTTTTTACAAGCATAGACTCCTAAGGTACCACACATGTGAATCAATATTTCCTGGAGGTTTTGGCACATAAGAGATGCTGTGTCCTTTCAGGTAACTATCAGTAAAATGACCGTGAGGTTAGGGGAAGGGGAGAAGACGAATCCAGATAGGTATAATATATAAGGCAGATTGATAGGTGCCTTAAGATAGGCCTGCTGGTCTCTTCCTGGTTTTAGCGCTTGGCTGAAACCCTCTGCCTCACATGCTCTACCTTCTAGTCTGCCTAGTGTAAGTTATATCTCATTCAGTTAGCCTATCATCCAGTTTCTTGATGCCTCACTTTTTTCTTATAGCTTCTAGCACTTTTTTCTTCATAGCATTTTTAGTTTATAATTAAATATTTGTTGGATTATTTGACTTATGTATAATAGACAAAATATGTGTGCTTTGCTAACATAGTGCCTGCCTCATAAAAGGTATTGAGTAAGTATTTGTTGAATGAATAAGTGGTTGATTGAATGCATGAATGAATGAAGCAGTAGTTGAATTCAGTTTTAAAGGGTGATTAGGATTTTGGACAGGTGGAGCAAATGAATGGGGAATTCATAATTCTGAAGCAGAAAGAGTGGATTATGTTGCTCATATAATTTCAGAAGATTGGAAGAACTGGTTTGGAAAAAGATGAAGGGTTTGGTTTTGTTTACTTGGTATGCTAAATTTGGGGTCTGGATATTTAGCAGGCATTTAGAAATGAGGTATTGGAACTGAAAGGTGAGATTGATTCCAGATCTTTAGATTTGGAGTTATCTGATTAAAGACTGTGGACTCTATTCATTCAGTGAATACTTTTTGAACTTCCACTGTGTGCCAGACAACTATGTTGTAGGGAAGGTGAGCTGAAGTCTGACAGATAAGGGCCAGCTTCATGGAAAGAGTTGTGGAGAATGTTCCAGGAACCACAAGTGTGTAGGCCTTAGGGCAATAAATAATTTATTATTTTGGGAGAACTTAAAGGAGACCACCAAAGGCTTAGGG